AGGGTTGTTTTGAAAAAGTGAGACACTTACAGCACTTGCATGTGCTGTTTTCACTAGGAGTGTTATTGTTTTCCATCAATCATATCAATGCTAGACTGTCTAATGCTCTCCTGGCATTTTTGCGTAGCAGTGCATGTTTACAGAGAGGACATTCTGAGACTACATTGTGTTACTCAAGAACACAATAAAATTAGTGCCACCCTCCCCACCCATGGCAAGCATGCAAAACAACTGCATTGAAATATTTGCTATAACTTGGTTAATTTATTGCATTGCAGATACCTTCAAGCTGCTTTGCAGACCATCTGTAGAGGTATGGATAAAAAGAAACAGTTTGGTGTCCGTAAGGCCAATTGGGTCGTGATAGTAGCAGACAAGTCAAGAATATTAAGAAAACGACAAAACGTTTGAGTTTACAAAACATGTTTCGACAGAAACTTCTGTCATCCTCAGTTAATCCAAGTACAATGTGATGAATGCTGAATTAATAATAAGTAGAAAATGCTAATTGTGATAAAAAGTAACAACAGAATGAAGCAAAGCTTGAAAGTGTGATAATGCCAAATGCATGTAAATTACCGCTTTTTGTCCACTGTTGGCAATAGCATGCTTCAGGTAATTGCACTTACTTACAGTAGTAATAACTGAGAAATTTCAGGTAAAGGTAACAAAAACTTGCGAAAAATGTATGGAGAATTCATGACAAGATATATTTCTCGAGCCACCTAAAATGTAATTAAAGTTTGTCCCATGTTTAATACAAATTGTTTAATATGTCCTTTAAGGTCTTTCAGATCAAAATCCTTTGGTTCAGAATGCTGCTCTGTTTGCACTGGGTCAGTACTCAGAGTACTTGCAGGTGACACACTTTGTTCTTTAGATAATTTTAGTCATGAGTGACATTTTTATAATAAAGACAATTTTGTCCATAGTTTTCTTCCACGTGAGAGTTCCTTGATAGGTCTCTTTCAACATATTAAAATTCAGATTGATAGTGAAGCCTAGGGGACACAAACAAAAGAAGTAACTAAACATGGTCATTCAATTTCCTTTGTTTGTGTCCTCTAGGCCTCACTGCCAAGGGTTAGATTTTTTTGGATTTTAATGTATTGAAAACAGTCTATTGGTTAGGTGGGTAAAATATAAAACAGGTTGATGATGTTGATAGGAAATCATGGATTTACTGAAAATTCATCAAATCAAAAGAAAGGAAATCAAAACTTCTGTATCTATCTATAGTTCTCTTTGGTCACTTTCATGTTTACATTTTGTTTCTTTTTAGCCAGATATCAGTAAATACAGTGCCGATATACTTCCACTTCTGTTTGAGAAACTTGTGAATACTTCAGAAAGTGAACAAAAATCATCCAGCGTAACAAGGACTTATTATGCACTGGAAACGTTTTGTGAAAATCTAGGTAATGTTGGTCTTCTACGGGTTTTGTTTAAAACACAGAACTACTTGATGGGAATTTTAAGCTCCATTAGAAAACAGCCCTAAGAAAATACGTGCGCTGACTGGTTAAAAATCGTGTTTCTATAACTCGTTAGAAACACAGAACTAGCTTGAGCTGTTGACGTAATGATGGTGCGAGCAAAGAGAATTTACGTTTTGATAATCAAAGTTAACAAGTAGTTTTCCTTTTTTCCATCGCGGTGTTTTCTAAAAGAAATAGAAAACATGTTCTCCGTGTTTCTATCGAGTTATAGAAACACTCGTGGAAGTTTGGGAGAACTCGAAAAAGCTGTGGAAACACTTGCCTATGGCTCGTGTTCCTACAGCATTTCTCGTTCTCCCAAACTTCCACTCGTGTTTCTATTTAACAAACTGATGTCAGTTTTTTGTGTGTCTGTCCTGTTATTGATCATGACTTTCGTCATAACATTGTCAAAGTAGCTGTGGATAGGACAGACGCATAATAAAACTGACATCAATTTGTTTTTTTATGATAAGAAATTGTCGAATTGTCTGCTCTCGCTCGTTGGCGCATGGCATAAATTATAAACTCATGTGTCTGTCCGCTTATTGACAATAAAAATTAGCCAATGAGCACGCAAGAATTTCTGCAGTTATCGTAAAAAACTCAATAGAAACACGGTATGTGTTTTCTATTTCTTAAATAATAATTATTACAACCAGAAATGATACATACATACAATGATTTGAACTGACCCATAGCATGGCCTCTGGCTTCAGTTCTTGTGTTACTCATTGACAATATTTTGTTGCAATTTTTTAGTTGTTGATTTTTTATGTGGCACTGTTTCTTTGTCTTACATGCAAACATTTATTGTGTAAATTAAATTGCGAGACAACACATGTTTAGGGGTTTCCTCAGAATCCTCATGAAAATTTTGAATGTGTTGCCGGGCTGCACCTCATGGAGTATTTACAAATTCACTCATTTTAAAATGCCCATAAAAATATTCCAAATATCAATAATTCCTTAC